AATGTCAGGTCATTATGGGAAAGCATTATTTTTCCCAAGTGGGTGTTTTTTTTTCCAGTAGATAAATGTACAAGAATCTAGTAACTTTTCTCTCTCTGTCTCTCTCTCTCTGTCTCTCTCTCTGTCTCTCTCTCTCTTTTTATTTTTTTTAAGCTTTAAAGCGATTTCATGGCTCCTTACGTTATCAAATGGAGATGGAAGACATACAGCGGGAATGTTTTGCCTTAAGTGGGGAGAAAGCCAAGAAACCCTGGCAATTATTCACTGATCGTGGTGTGAGATGGCAGCTCATAACTGTGATTGTGATGACTATGGGTCAACAGCTCAGTGGCATAAATGCTGTAAGGTTTCATACTTGCAAACTTAAATAATTGTGAATTTCCATCTTTTTTTTTAACCTTTTACTAAAATGAAGGATCCATATAGAGAAGCTCAGAGATGAGGGATAAATAAGAAAGAGTACCTTTGTTTTATTCATGTTTATTRAATTGAAACAGATTTTCCCCCTGTGTCTAAAGGGGTAATTAGCTTGTTTTGTTGAATTTCAGGAAGGGTTTTACAAAATCTGCAAACTCGTGTATACATTTCTTTCAGCAGGGACCAAATACTTGTTTTTACATCTTCATTCTTCTGAAAAAGTAAATAATGGTAGATCAGCTTATCCTACTATATATAGCTTAAGAATGATGAAGCTAAATATTTATATTTGCTTTTAAGATAGTAACCATATTTACCTACACTGTACATTATATATAATCTTTGCATCAGATTAATAAATCAGAGTATACTTTATATTCACGTATTCATAGATTTAGTATGATCTTGACTTTGGTTCCAGCTGATGATTTAGCTACTGGAAATGTCTTTATATATATAAATACATATGTATTCTAGATTTATTTCTACACAACCTACATTTTTAAACAAGCTGGGATCTCAGCAGAAAAAATCCCGTATGTGACATTAGGCACTGGAGCCTGTGAATGTCTCACAGCCCTCACCTGCGTATGTATCAATTTTTTTTTCCTGCCTTAAGACAAAATTGCTATTCTTTATGATGGATAAATAACATTGGTAAATATGTGGTTAATGTTGAAACAAATATTTCTGTCTTGTCCATAGGGCTTACTGATTGACCATGTGGGAAGAAGATTTCTCATCATTGGAGGATATCTCCTTATGACCCTTTGGAGCATTGTTTTAACATTCTCCCTGACTTATCAGGTGCAAAGAAGGGCAAATTTATATTACATAATATAACAATAGTGAGTAAAGATCTGTGCTATTCYAAAAAAAGTAATCAGGATGAGAGCTGCATAGATTTAAATAGCAATGAAAATACTAGATGGATTTTGATTGATTCTAGAATATTTTCCTAAAATAAGAGAATGCTCTAAGTTAAGGTTTGATCCTGTATTTGTCTTAAAGCTACAGCTATATTTTAAAAGCTGTTTAGTTAAACAGCTTAAGTTTAACATAAGTAATACCAAAACAGCTTTTATTCTTTTTAAGGAATTTTAGGATGACATACTACATGGTGAGGTTGGGCATCAGTCTGCTTCAGTCACTTATAAAATAAGCAAAAACATTTTTAAGGATGTTGAGGTACAGAATATGTTCAAATGCATTAAATCAGAATTAAATGTTAATTCACAAAAAATGCAAAAGACTCYTTAGAGGTATTCATCGTACCCTAGATTCTCCATGTAATTATATCTGTTGATATGCTTGTAGTATAAGGAAAATACACCATAAATTTATCTGCTTACTTTATCAGTTCAAGTAAGGCAGTCTTTCTAACCACCTGTAATGAAGGTTAGAAGAAATGCATCTGTACATTTCAAGACCATGCTCTACTATATACTTACCATGTGATGTCAGGGGACTCCATTGTTACCCTCTCAAAACCCAAGCAAGGTCCAGGTCCCTGTTAAGTGTAAGTGCTTCATTCTGGAGGAGTTCCAACAGCAAATGACTTGGTATTTGATTGTCTGATCAATCCTACCTTTATCAGCTAAAGATTTAAGAGCTGTAACCCCTTCCCCATCTATACCACCGAAGTTTAGAGCTCACTTTGAATAGGTGTGTGTATCACATGTGGTCACATTTGGGATCTGATTCTTGGAAGGGATAGTAGGTCTACAGGGTGCACAAATTTGCAAGCAGGCCACAGAAGTGGTACTTGCCATATGTCTGTGAGGTTAGAGTAGAGTAAGTTGCTAGGCCAGGCAAAACAACTGACAGAGTCTAGACTTAAGTATTCTGTTGCAGCTTTTTCTGAACTTCTGCTTTTCTTTTTGAATTATGACACTTGGCCTTAGTTGCAATAAAATAGCTGTGAGAAAATACTAACTGCAAAGCCAGGCCTAGCAGCTTGAACACTGGATAATCAAAATCTGAATTGAAAATTTTTATTTTATTCTTTTCCAGGAACTGCACTCATGGGTGCCATATGTGAGCATGACATGTATATTTGCCTTCATTTTGAGCTTTGGGTTGGGACCAGGTATTTTTACTGATATTTATACACTAGCAAAAGTTTGTAAGTAGTAAACAAAAGTTGGAAACTCTGTTGTGCAAGCCACGGAGGAAGTATTTACTGTAAGGCTGTCAATGCTGTGGCTAAAGGAACAAACATGATCCTATGTCATCAAAATATAGTAGCATCATATAACCTGAAGCACACTTAAGGCTCATAGTTCATTCTTCTTAGCACCAGTTGGACATGGGGGAATTATTAATTCTGGCCTTTGATGTATTCTAGTCACACAAAAAAGAAAGATAAAGCCTGTTGTACTTCTAAAGGGATGCTAGCTCCCTGAGCAGTAGGACACTTTTTAGAAGGATATGTACAACATGAGCAATAGATTCATAATTTTACAGTTAAAAATCATCCTGAGAATATTTTGATTAGAAGATCAGCTAGTGAAATACTAAAAAACTGCCATCTTTTCAGCTTCAAACACAGCACACTTAGCATAATGACCTGTTGTTTCTGAAAATGATTCTCCCAGGTGGCATAACAAATACTCTGACAGCTGAATTATTTATACAGTCTTCACGTCCTGCTGCTTACATGATAGGAGGAACTATTAGCTGGATTAGTTTCTTCACAATTGGAATGCTCTTTCCCTTTATAGTGGTAAGTATCTATAACCCTTCTTTTACCCCTTACTCTTCTCTTAGTTTTCCTCAAATTGCTTTTTCTTAAGCAGTACCAGTTGAACAGAGGATACGCACAAATCCTCGACAGTGTATCTATATTCAGTCCATCTTAAAATATTTTTAGATATCTGAACAATAATAAAACRTGGCAAAATTGGAGGTGTTAAAACTAGAAACACGAGCTGCTGAGTTTCAACACATTTTTAAACAGCTTCTCTTGCTACTGTCGTAGTAGTAAGTCATGTTAAAGAAGTACATTTTTTGTGACATAATAAAAACTTGTCAGATTATACTCTAAGAATGTGTATGTATAACCTCTGTTTAAAAAAAAAACAGGGAAGAAAAAACACACTTTTAAAATGCAAGATTACCAACTGTATTGAAGAGCATGTGGTAGTCTTTTGTCCTCAGGGGGGAAAAAAGTTAATAAGTGGAACAGCTCTTTAAAAAAAAAAAAAAAAAGTCTGGGTAGCAAAATTTAGGTTTGACTGGAAACAAAGCTTTGTATCTTTCCAAAACTCACTATCATACTTTATACCTGTTGTAATCAAACAAATATATTTTATTTCCAGAATGGACTGAAACAGTATTGTTTTCTGGTGTTCTTAGTGGAATGTGCCTTAGTTGCTGTTTTCATCTTCATTGTAATTCCCGAGACAAAAAACAAATCTTTTCTGGAAATTAAAAAGGAATTTCACAAGCTTAATTTTGGAAGAAATGTTAAGGAAACAGAGCTGTATGAAAGAAGACAACTCCATGATGAACTTTAAGAAAAAAAAAAAAAAAAGCAACTTCACAGCTGTAACTAAGGAGAATTATGAATAGTCTTCTAATTAGATATAGCAGAATGAACAGGGAGCTTAACTAAAAGGCGAGTTAATATTTCTGAAATGTTACTTTAAAATTATGCACAGAATGAATGCTTAAGCACAACTGACTACTGTAGTAATGCAAAAATGCAGAGGGTAAGTGTTCAGTGGGTTTCTCTATTTCTTTGAATTTCATTCGACAACCAGTAACAGTCAGTAGCTTTTCTTTTTATTTCTAAGTCTACTCTTCAGATCCAGATATCAAGTATATTTTAATATTTTACTGAATAAAATATGAATATTCTGTGAGCTTAAAATGAGAASCGACTCAAACTGATATTTGAAATATCAGTTCAAATAAAATTTGAAGTATTTAATGCTGTTTTTCAGTTAAGTAATTCATTTGAAAGATTTCAGGTTTCCTCACTCAGTCCTGACATTGTAACAGTGCAAGAACAGTCTAGCCTGTAGGAACATAGGCTGTAGAGCACCTATTTGAAATCTTATTAACAAAGTTAATATTAACAAAGTTAAGACTCTTTATTCAAGAAGCCTATTTTCTAAAGGGTATAATATAATAGTTTTGGATGGTTTATCTCTCYACATCCCCCCCTCTCCCCCCCCCACAGACACATACACTTTTCCAATCTAGCACCTCTGAGATATTCAAAAATGATTTGGTAGAACAGAGAGACTACACAGAGCTTAGATAGCCTGTGGAAGGAGCTTTCCACTTAATCTTGAACATTCCATGCATGACTTTTACTTAGAATAAAATAAATTCTTTGCATAGTAGTAGCTCAAATATCTTAATTCCTTACTGTAGTTTTATGTTCATTTGATACTTATTTCTGTAACTCCTTTGAGGAGGGTAGTCCTAAACTACTAATTACAATTTCTCGTGTGTATAAGCTTTTGCTTCTTCTACCTGTTATTTAATCAGTGCTGCGTAAGCAGCATTTCTTTTAACTTTTCAGAATCTAGACTTTTAACAAAACAAAACAAAAAACAGAATGCAAACACCTCTTTTCCAATTTTGGTTACTGAATCAGATGTTTAATTGAAAATAACACTAATTCCCAACAGTAAATGCAGGAGTATCAGGAAGGGATCTTCTTGTTCTTTAGTTTGTCCTCTAAGTTTGCAAAATATTTCATTTTAGCTAGGAGCTTCTTAGCCTCTTGAAGATCATCTGAAATGAAATAAAATATTACTACTTCATAGAGGGCTGAATTTTCATTTCCAAGACAAATCTCAATATTTTACAGTTTCAGCATTACAACTAAGAACTTAAAAAATTTAAGTACCCACACAATAAAACAGTGTTACATATTGTTTTCATTTCAGGTTTTTGGGGACCTCAATTCAGATGTTCCATAAAACATGTAAAAATGTCTGGGACAAACTGCTTACAGGGAAAAAAAGAAATATGACTCAAATACCCTTTAATGAGTTTTCTGTGCAGTGGCTATGGTGTTGTCCCCAGTAGCAACTTGGGGAAATTTAAATATATAAGGGTTTTTTTGTTGTTTTTTAAAATGTATAAACTATACATTTACATTATATATGTATAAACTATACATATACATTAAACTATATTTAAAAAATTCAAACAAAAAAACAAAACAAAAACTCTGGAATGTGTTGGAATTGATTGTTTTGATGCAATAGGAACTAACTGGAACTTCTGTATTAGAGCTTCTTCCCCCACTCCTCCATAGGATGACTAATGCTAAAGAAAAGGTCAAGGTAGAAGTACTTATTTTAAACATCAACATGGGATGCTCGTTTAAGCAGTGAATAGGTCAGAAAATATCTGCCAATAATTAAAATATGCATTTATTACTGATATTATGCAAGTACTTAACRGAAATAACTACCCCTTTCAAAGGCTGTCGTCACCTCCTTGGTCAGTTGTTCTTGTTTAGCTGTAAAATGAAATAATCAGAATTCGTCACACAGTATATTCAGTAATACCACACTGTGATTGTGTGGGAACTTTACCATTTGTATCATAGTTTTTTGTGGAGCCAAGAGAGCTTTCTATATTGTTACTGTCAATTGCTTTAACTGTCATTTCAAACATATGCTGCTTTCTTAAGACAGTGAAGAACAGCGTTGTCAATGGTCACTAGCTTTTAAGTAGTCTTTCACAATTTTACTCTTCTAAAATTAATTTTCTTTTATTCTAATAACTTTTTATTGTGATTGCTTTTGACATACTGTTAGTATTATAAAGAATAAAAAGTAATGAATTCATGTTTTGGATATCATCAACCACACAAAAAAAAGAAACTTGCTAGAGTAAGGATGGCGATTATTACTAAGCTGAAAAAAACTACTGCAAATAGAGTATGGAGATAGTAATTTTGTTTGTAAATTATGTCATGGTTACTTGCATTAATATGTAGAGACACTATTTTGCTGAAAGGCACACGTCTCCCCTGTACAGAATAGTTTTGACAGAAAGTGTCACATCTCTCTTATCCCCTTGGTTCAATGAACAAAGACTTGTTCAAACTCCACAACCTTATCACATTCAGATTAGGCTGACATCTTGTCTGGATTCTCCACTRCCAACAGTTCATGAACTGTGTTTTAATGAAACATTTTATCAATTTCTATATTCACCAAAATACTCAACATTTTCAATTGAAGAGAGAACACAGTGAAAGTCTGAGTCTTGTCACTGACAAAAAAACACTTAGAAAATACAGGTAGAAAATACAACTCTGAGCTTCTTCATCACACAAGACTTCCATGTATTATTTATCTCCTTGAAACCAGGAGATAACCAGTTAAGTATTTTATTAAACTTCATTTTGAATGGTTCTTTCCTTTAGAAAAATGCATTTGTCCTTAGCTGCTGAAGATGCAATAAGAATTTCATTTTCAATATACATATACCTATGTACCTTAAGAGAGACTAGCTTCTCTTCATGTGACAGAAGATACAGGAGCCTAGGTTAGTTCTGTACAAAACTGCTAAATTGCAACTCACCTTTAATTAAGGTTTCAATTTCTTCAAGGTTACCCTCATTACTAGGCTCTGCTAATTTCTCATTAATTTCCATGATTTCCATGAGAAATTGTGAATCAGCATCACTGTCTGTCTCTTGTGCCAGCTGTATTCCACTCAGCTCCAGCTTGCAAAGAAAATAGGAATTTGGAAACAAATGCTGTTACATCAATTTCAGTGGGAATGATTTTCTAGAGTACTAAGTCTTTAAGCAGAGCTTACACAGATGCCTATTTGACAAATTATATACTAACAGAGTCTGTTAAAGTTAACTCCATAGGTGGACCCTAAAAGTAGTTTGTAAGGAAGTATGATCACAGTAATCAGAAAGCAACAGTGAAAACAGCAGTGGGTGGGAAGGCTGGTGAGTCTCAGACAAGGCTGGTTTTGCACCCCCCATTTCTGCCAAGTTTGCGGCGTTCCTGCTTGTGACAGTACCCAAAGCCGCCCTGCGCCTTGGGCCACGCGCCTGGATTCCTTACTAGGTAGAGGCCGCGGCTGAGGGGGTGCAGGAGGGTCTGATAGGCTTTGTTGACCAGCGCCGAGTGCTGCTCCGAGTAGAGCCGCTCCGTCTGCCAACAGAAAACAGGGAACAAGCGCTCGTTAGCGGGTCATTGCGGGCAACGAAGGGCCGAGCACGTTCCGCGCAGCGCCCTGTAGAGACGAGGCACTCGAGCGCAGCGGAGACGCGGAGCACGCGGCGCCCCCGCCGGCCCTCCCCGCGCGCGGAAGCTCCGAGCGGGCGGCGCGGGCGGGCAGCGCTCACCGGCGGCCTCCGGCCGAAGCGGTCGGGGTGCAGGGCGCGCTGCAGGCTCCGGAAGCGCCGCCGCAGCTGCTGCTCGTCCACGCGGAAGGAGCGGTCGCTGCGGGCGACAGCGGCGCCGTGAGCGCGGCCGCACCGCCACCGCCCCGCCGCCCGCCGCGGCACTCACCAGGCCATGAGGCGGAAGAGGTCAGGCCGCGGCGCGGGCGGCTGCAGGGAGCGGCAGGCGGGACAGAAGCGGGGCTGCCCGCCGGGGACGGGCCCGCCGCAGCTCCAGCAAGGCGGCGCCGCGCTGGAGCCGAGTCCCACACAGCGCGGGCGCGGCGGGGCCCCCGGCGCGCGGCAGCCCCATGGGCGGCGGCAGAGGCGCAGTCCCAGCGCCGCGCGCATGGCCGGACTACAGCTCCCGGCAGACCCCGCAGCGGCGCCCGCGCCCATTGGCGCAGTTCGCAGCGCGGCTTCGCGGGGCGCCTGCGCGCTGYGGCGCGCGGCTCGGTGCGGCGGCCCGCGTGGCGCTCCGCTCCGCTCCGTGAGTTCGCACCCCGCTCGCGCCGCCGGGGTGGTTTTCGGGCGCCCCCGCCTCCGGGCGCGGCGGCCGGGGCCGTGTCCTGGAGGGCTCCTCGCTGCGCGGGGCGCTGCGCGGCGGGCGCCGCGAGGAGAGGCGGACGCTGCTCCGGACGGCAGGGAGCGCTGTGGGCACGAGGGGGCGGAGTGAGGCGCGTGGCGCGTCAGTGCCGCCTCAGGACGGCGAAACGAGCGCGGGGAGCGCAGGGGACCGGTCCGTGTGCCGGGGTAGGAGCGGGGGGCAGGTGACAGCGGGGGCCCGCGCCGAGCGCCGCGGGGCCCAGGGCGCCTCGGAGCCCGCCGGGGTTTGTGCCTGAAGCCGCTGTGCGAGCGGCGCGTGGCGACGGGGTTTGCGGTCCTGTAAATAAAACTGGCAGTTGTTGTGCGGGGATCCTGTGACACAGCGCGAATCAGAGGGCTCGTCGGAATCGGGACGCCGGGTTCGTGATGGCTTAAAAAGCAGTAGGGGAAGCACCACATTCTTAGTTTAAAAAGAAAAAATTCTGTTCACAAAAGCTTGTGCGGATCATCCTTGAATCCGAAAGCTGTATTTACCTGGGGACTGGACGTGGATTTGATACAGGTGGTGCTGTATGCGGGTGACTGTCTTGCTCTGCTCTAGTAACGTCTCCTCAAACCTTCTTTCTGAAGCCATCATGTCCCGGGAGACTGGGAGCGAAGCGCAGCCGTCGCAGGGCGCAACCAGCTCCGCGTCCAGCGGCTCGCAGGCCACGAGCCAGTCCTCGTCCAGCTCCGGGACCCTCAGCTCTTTGGACACTGTTCCCACCCAGGAGCTTCCGTCGATTCCTGAGGACCAGGAATCTGAGGAGCTGGCTCCTCAGCCTTGGGGTCGCCTCTTTGCACTTGGAAAAGGTTTCAGCAACTATGGTATGTACAGCCCATACATACGTCTCCTGGTCAGGAAAACTTTGAGAACTTTGAGCTCTTCTCATTTTCAAAGTACAAGCAGATGGGGATAATGTTAAGTAATATTAGACAGTAAGCTAACAATTTAATAACAGTTTATGAATGATCTAATAAAAATAGTGAATAGTAAAAACCTAATTACAATAAATAACCTCTTAATAATGCTAAAGAATGCTGATAGTACTAAATAATACTTTTTACATTAAGCACTAAGACATGCAGCTTCCATGAACTTGGAGATGGAATTCTGACATATTCAGGTTACTTGCTTCATTTTCCATTTCATATTTTTTAATGCAACATATTGCACTGGCGCAATGTATTGCAGAACATGACTACTCTTAGAAAGGAGATTATACTGTGATTAAAATGTAGCAAACAAGACAGAAGTTTTTTGCAATGTGTGTTTCTTCTGAGTTAAGATTAATAAGCTTGATCATATCTATAGAATCTTGTGTATGTCTACCTATTATGGTTTGGAATCATTCTGTAGTGCCTGGCTTAATAATTACTTACCACAATCTTGTGTTCTTTCTCTGCTTTACTTTCCCATCGTCTACAGACTGCGTGAATGATGAGTACTGGTTTGGAAGAGACAAAAGCTGTGATTATAGTTTTTCTAAACTAGGATTGTCTGAGACTGGCTTTTATCAAAACTATAGTAAGAAGCACTTCCGAATTTTCAGGGTAGGTGTTAAAAATGTTAACTGTGTTTTTCTCTCCTGACATATTTCTGATGAAATCAAAGTTCAAACACTCTTCAGTGTTGACTTCTCTAACAAGATTCTTGATTCTTTATCAACCAGGTTTATGAAATAACCTGAATAATATTAGACTTCTAGACCTAATGATAAGACGTGTCTGTAKTCTGTCACATAATTATAGTAATATCCATTTTTCATCATGTTATTCTTCCCACTGTTTTTCTTTTAGGAAATGGGGCCAAAAAATTCCTGTGTTGCCTACATTGAAGATCACAGCGCAAATGGAACATTCATTAATAGAGAGCTCATTGGGAAAGGGAAGAGACTTCCACTGACTCACAACTCTGAAATTGCACTCTCTGTACAGACTAATAAGGGTAAAATATACTATAGCATAACTAGATTTTCATGTGTTGCCCAAGAGGTTCTTAGTGCAGATTTGATTCTGTGTGTGTATAATTCATGCATATTATATGTAAAAGCTGAGAATACAGTTATGATTTGATGTTTAGCACTCATATTAAAAATCTCTTTATCTAGAATTATTTAAAAGAAAATTTGAAAGCAGTTGCATCAGAAACCACTGTGCAAACTGTAAACTTTTATAGTTGTGTTTCTACTTTTGAAATATATTTTGGCCTTAATAGCTGCATGTGTGGTGGAGGAAGGGGGAAAACGACTATTAATGGAAAGTGAAGAAACATTTAAATGGCTGTGGTATAATGTTGAAAACTCCTCTTAAAAGATTAGGAGAGTTGGGTTTTTTTTTTTTGTTTTACTATTTTCTCACCAAGGTGTTTGGTTCTTGCTTGTCACTTCTCTTTTTTCCTTGATATRAGACTGAAGTTCTTGACTGCTGATTTTATCCTGAAGTTTAGTGTTAATTGATTAAGTGCTATTATGTGGAGTTTACACTGAAAGCTTGACTACGTATAGAAATTATTTTTCAAAGTGTAGAAATTATTTTTCTGTAATGAGATCTTCTTGCTAATCCATGACTGATGTCTTTCGTAGCATCAGTTATTTTCTTATATATTTGTTTTTCTTCTAGCATTTTCTTGTTGACTAAATGCTCAGGACGAGTAGTTGTTCATTATAACGATTTTTTTAAGTTAATAACAGGAAAATGATCTCCACTCATCTTCCTAGTGTTTGTATTTTCTGATCTTATGGTGGATGATCAGTTGGGGTTTCCTAGAGAATTCAGAGAGAAATATATCATGTCAAAGACTTTGGGAAGGTAAGCACCCTTCTTTCCCCAATGTTAAGTGGTAATTTTCTTAGTTTTCAGTACCTTGTACCAGAATTATGATCAGTCTTAAATAAGATGATGTTTTCGTAATCCCACAAATATTTTAGGTATTTTACAATATAGTAAAATGCTGTTATTTTTTTTGTTTGTTTTTTTGTTTTTCTTTTTAAGTAGATACCCTTCTTAATGTCTTGATTAATATTTTACTCTTTCAGTGACACACAACAATTCATTTTGATGAGGAATGAAATTCTTTGATTTCTCTGAATTTTCTAGTGTCAGTACAAGGATATCTGGGACTGATATAGGTTAACAGAGACCATGAGACCATGAACTGCTCTTGAGGTCTTCAAAAGAGGAAAGAGGTCTTTTTTTTCAGTAAAAGGGAGATGGGCTATTTTAAGGAGACACTTTTTTTTTCTCTCTTGATTGTCAGTGAAGAATTTGGAAGCATGATTAAGTGGAAACAATTCAGAGAGAAACATTAAGTAAAGAAACCTGAATGAATAATGCAGGTTTTCTATATGTTTTTCTAATATTAATATTTCTAATATTAGAATATTAGTAACAATTTATAGTTTTTTTTATTATTATCTATATTATTTACTACGTAGAAAAGAAAAAGGGGTAAAAAGAACATCTTGACATAACTGTTCTTCAGATTGGACTGGTCTTGTGTTGCAGGTCTCTAATAGGTTTTCTTCTCTTCTTTAAAATAGAAAGTGCACAAGCACATTTGTCGAATTGGAAATGTTGAGAGAGCTTGTCCTGGGCGTTCATTGATGCCCTTTGTACAAACCAATGATTTGCTATACATATTTCCTTCTGCATTTTTGAATCGGTGGTCCTCAACATCGCTTGCTGTTTAAATAGGGCCTTCCTAGCTCCTGAACATTTCCTGACATATTTTTGATGACTTGCTATAGTCAGAGGGGTGGGAAGCAGTAGCCTCTCCTCTAGCTGTATGTAATCTTAATCAGCGTAGTGCCTTTATTTTACATGTTTATACTCATTATGCAGATTTTGGAAGCATTAACATAGCTGTGCTTTTCTGTTAGTGGCGCCTGTGGAGAAGTTAAACTGGCATTTGAGAAAAGCACTTGTAACAAGGTTGCAGTAAAGATAATCAATAAACGGAAGTTTATGGCAAGTGGTATTAGAGAGGCAGTAAGTATTTTTGTTTATTTATTTGGATGCACAGCCTTTCATTGGCTGCTAAACAAAGACTAGTAACATTTTCTGCTAAAATCTATGCTTTTCTTAGTTCAGAGGAGCAGGTAGATTTAGCTATTTGTAGACGAATGAGTGGCATCAATGTGATTGAAAACTACTGAATGCTATTTTGGAGAATTTCTAGTAAGGATTAAGACATGATGTTACAAATTAGTAATTATGAAAGAAATGCCGTCCTAGAAAACAAGATAGGAGCTCATATGGAATGTTATGTACTGAACTGGTTACGTATGTTGAAAGATGATTAATTTAGATTGGAAGAAGAACAAAAAAAGTCTGCTGGGATGATTTTGTGAGCTGAGCCTAAATCATATGTTAAAAGAGATTTAAAAAACTGTTTATGTTACCTTGCAAAACAAAGTATAAGAGTGAGTAGCATGTATTTTTAGGGATAGCTCACATAGGAAGTGTCTCTGAGGCAGGAAAGCTGTTTAAGATTGATATATGATGGACATATGGGTGATACAAGTTGATCAAGATTAATTTGGTCCATAGGAAATTAGGTGAAGATTTCCATTTCTTAGTGAAATAACTGTGTCTGGAGCAGTACCTTGCTACAGATAGTGATAATGGCAGACTGTTTAGTTCACAGAGGGCACCTGATCAGTAAAGGAAAAAAGTAATATGTTATGGTTGCTTAAAGTCACAAGAGATGTGAAACAATTGCTTTTCTCGTATTGTCTCTTATTTCTCAAATGTCTTATTATACAGCCACACTATCTTGCTCTGTATGGTATTTGATTCTTTTAATAGAACCC